AATAAGTAGTAAAGTAAAGTAAAAATATCAGAAAAATCTACTTGAGTACAGTAATGAAGTATTTGTACTTCGTTACTTCCCATCTCTGGACACTGAGCACCATGAAAATGCATTTTTACACATTTTTCCCCATGTACAGAGGACATAAAAAGAAGTTTGTCGTGATGCACGTCTCAGCTGCAGCTTAGTATTTCTGTCTGGCCTTTATAGTAAAATTTGCTTAAAATACTCTTGTGGAAAAGTTTTAAATGAAAAGAGTTGACTTCAGGACATACTAGAAGTGAAAGAAGTTTTCTTTTTGTTACAAGAGAAAATTAAAGCATAGTTAAATACTTTAAAAAGCTTCATCATAAATAAAATTCTATGATGATTTTTGAACTAGTCTGGGATAATAATAGAAGAGAAATATCTTTTATTGTCCCACAGTAGGAAAATTCAGGTGTGTCGATGAGACATAATGGATGTGCTTTGTTGTTTAAACTCTAACTATTAACTAAAGGCAAGGCAAATAGAAAGGGAAGCAGTAATTTGCCTGAAAATAGGCCCCACAAACAGCTTGTTCCACTTGCTACCCCCTTTGTGTGGTGGCGTGACCCCCACCTGCAGAGCTGCCTACTCCTCTGAACCTTCCCGGCCCTGGCCTTCAGGTCGAGTGGGCTGTCGATGTGGAAAAGCTCCACGCTGAGTGTTTGATGGAGCGCAGAAGAGTGTGTGAAATGCACTGACCCATTCACATCACTCCCCATGAGTTCAGGCCCTAGAATAGGCTGACTTATCATATGCAGCACACTGCTCTGCACAAATCAGAAGTGACAGTTACAGGACTGGTGGAACTCTGGAGGGGAGAGGTGGCTTCTGGGGCCCGCAGTTCTCACCCAGTCAGACTTTAGATGGGGACAGGTGGTGGGTGGATGTGCCCATTTAGCTGGTGTTGGTTTTAATCTTTTGTCAACACACTTTTTATTGTTCCTGTTCCTCTCTTTATGTCGATTTAGAATGCTGTAAAAACAATATTCTTGTACTTAAACAGCTTTTCATAATTTCTTGGGTTCTTGTAGCTTGCTTAAGCCAAATATAATTTGCTTCTTGTTGCACCTTTTCACATCCACAAGTATTACATCACTGGAATTAGTGTCTGCTCTACAGTTTCTCCCAAAGTTTGCTACGGGTCAACTTGCATGCTCTGGATTAGTGTGAATTTGCCAAAGCTGAGGTCTAAGCGCCTCTAATCACCTAACGTGTGATGGCCTGATCCCTGGGGGTCCAAAAGTGTTTGCAATAGCACCACTCACAGCCTTAACTTAACTCGATTCAGTCCACGTTTGAACCTTAAAATTACTCTCCTGCTTGCAGATTAATGTTAGGGCGTTGGGATTTAAAAAGCATCTGTGCACAGCTTATGTTCAGTATTTAGACCAAGACGACAAAGGTTTGGGGAATGCTAGAAAACTTTTCTGCTTTAACACAGTATTTAGGTAATTCAAATTCATAATTTTTTTTTTTTTATTAAGAAGCTTGCCTAACAACTAAAAACTATGCTTTTATATATATATATATATATATATATATATATATATATATATATATA